ACTAATAAATCAATATTATAATATTTTCCCAATCATTACGTGCCTGGCATGAAAGTATACAAATATGAGAAATGCTACGGTATTGTTGACCCATTGTCAAACATTATAAGTTATAATTATTTTAAAATATAAATTATAATTTTTAAAAAATATGAACAATCATAAAAAATTAAGAAAGATATCACAAGTTTATTATCGATCATAAAAGTCTGTGATCAATGGTAATCTTCTACTTCAATGTTTACTAAATGAGTACCTTATGCACAAATCGCCATTAAATCTTCTAAATTTGGACAGCTGGATTGTCGATTTTCTACGGCGATTAATTAGACACAGATATCATTTCGTAAGTTGGAATATAAGAATTTAGCAAACGAAAATATCTATCTAATGAAACACCCATATTTTTTAATTTTTATTTCCTCTATATTTTTTTTCAATTATTTTTATCACATTACTCTTTTTTATCACAAGTTAAATTATTTTATTTTTAATTAATTGTGACATTGTTCATGTACTATAATTTACACATAATAATATTTTTTAAGATAACACATTTTAAGAAAATTTTGTTAGAAATTAATTTCAAATCATGTAATTAAAAAAAGGAAGGAAAGAAAATTACTATTTAATATAGTGTCGATTTGTTGGGCAATTAAATTTTATGTTATATCGTACTTTTTGAGTGTAGATTATGATTAATAACAAAATAAAATATAAAGACATAATTTGATTTGATACTGTGTACCCACTCAATATCTCATACAAACATTCACAAGTTAAAAAGTCACATCAATATATTATTAATTGACAAATTAATTACCGATTGCTGCGTCGTATATTCGGGGTCAAATACACCTCTATATTATCCCCTGAGCTATTTAGAGGCAACCTCACGTGGCATACCAATAAATCTCTCCCTCTTGTGTAAAACATATAGAATTTAGGTCACCCTTGATTTTGATCCATTATTATTAGGGGTGTCATTTTTGTCGGTTTAAACGGGTAACACAACATGAATCGTTTAATCTATTTAAAAATAACAAAAAAAAAATTATTAATTTAACAAATTTTTACACTCTATTATTTTTTCTTTCATTTATATTTTTTTCAATTGGAGGAGTTCCAACCAAAAGTTCATGTGATAAATCACATCACAAAAATTAGTTAAAAAGAGGAGGCCACTGCCTCTTTTACAGTCAACTAAAACCGTCTGGTCGACGTGAGATTCAAAGAAACTATCATTCAATGCGTCAAAGGACATTCAATGTCATTCAATGTCTCAAAGCTTCCTCTTTCTTACTTTTTTTTGTTTTTTTTAAAATGTTTTATTTATTATTTTTTCTTTTCTCATTCATTATTTTATATATATATATAAAATAATTATTAATTTATTGTTATATTAAACTTATTTAAACGGATAAACAGGTTGACATGTCTCATTTAAATCCATTTAATTTGTATCAATTTATATCAATTAATTGTGTTGTATCAAATTTTAACACACCTAATTATTATGTTCAAGCACCACCACATGCAACGAATCGCCACAATCATCATTTCCTTTTAAGATCTTGGGTCTTAGCACCACATGCAACGAATCGCCACAATCATCTTTTATCAATCGCTCAATGCAAAAAACCCTGTCAACGTATGAAACACAAAATCAATATTGGATGGATGCAAAACTCACTAATTCGACCATCCCTTTTCATTTGATAAATAAAGTTTCGTAAATTTTTGGTATATACATTATTAGTCTTTGTTTGCTACGCATTTTTTTTTTTTTTGGCAATGGTAGATTACCACTGTATATTGTAAATTGTTTTATTTATAATGGTAAATCACTGTTACATAAACCATCGACTATTATAATTTAAAATAATAGATCAATAAATGAAGAAAAAACACCATAGAAGATCAAAAAGAAAAGCTCGACAAAGAAGCACAATAGGATCCAAAAAATAGAACATGAGAATGAATAGGCCTGACAAAATTCCTCACAACGCGGAGTTAAGTGGGTTTGAGTGAGGCTTTATTGGATCGGATATTAAACTGGTGGACCTGCCAAACCTGTTTAATAAACGAGTTGTGTTTAGGTGAGACATGCCAACATGTTTTATCGCTCATTTAAAAAAATTTAATATAATAATAAATTAATAATTATTAAAAAAATTTGGCCAAAATAATATATGTAGTTATTAATAGATCAGTTTAATAATACTTTTTTTTAGTGAATTACAACATTTTTAAAGACAAATGGGTCAAAAGATTGGTCGCTTAAAAGGGTTATCGTATTAACCCGATCCTACCAAACTCAATTTTTTTATTAAACGGTGTTAAAAATTATTTATTAAAGTGGTAAAAATTAGCATAATTTAAATATAATGTTAATTTGATGATATTGAATTTTGAATTGATGAATTTGAATATTAATTCTGTGAAATTAGAGGTAAATTTTAATTTAATTTTATGAATTGTATGCTAATTAAATGAAATTGAGTGTTAATAGACACTAATGATAAATGAATCAAAATAATGTAAGGCAATAATAACAAGATTATAGATAATATAGACAGAAAATAGATATTTTATAACTTTTTTACATGATATATGAGATGTTACAAAATTAAACAATTTTTCAATACATACTGAAAATGAAACAACCGAAAGTGATATAGACACGATTTGAAGGGGTTGTAACCTTACCTTATAAACGTTATAAACCTCACTCACTATTAGAGATGGTAGTTTTACCTCTATTAGTTATAACATAACATCAAATAGTTATAACTTGACCTTAGAAGGTAGTAACTTTACATTTAAAGATGATATCTTTACCTCTAAAAGTAGTGATCCAATTTATAATCATTTTAATTTTTCTGCTTAAGGTAGCAACTTTACCTAAGAGTGTAAGCTTACCTCTAAAAATGGTACATTTGCTACTAAAAATAGTAACCCAACCTATAACTGTTTTAATTTTTTTGGTAAAGGTACTAACCTTACTTTTAAGTGGCCGTTTGTTTGGTTTGCTGGAAGGGGTTTGTATTGACTTATCCAAATCCGTCCAAACCCAAACCCAAACCCAAACCCTTTTTTACAAAGATAGGATTCAACATTCAATCTCGTTCATACCCATGTTTGGTATACGTACGGATATATCCTTATTATGATAATATATTTGTATATAAATAACTATTGTGTCCCTTATTCACTTTAATTCAAACTCATATTTGTTTAAGCACATTTTCTTGTGTCCTTATGGTTTTAATATATGATTAATTTTTTTTTCCTAACTTATGAAAAAACTATGAATGTTGATAAAATATAACTATTTATTTATAACCATAATAAAGTGCGATAAAACATTAACCCAACAAGACAGTGCAACATTCTACTATTTACATATATGGGGATACACACAAAACTTGTTCATTCCCAAATACATCAAAGCGGACAGACATATTTCCGTTATACCATATTAAACATTACTGTATTGGTTACAAAATGCTCACATCTATTGATGATATTAGTCATCAATGATAACCAATTTCACAATTGGCCTATATGGACACGTGACTAAAGTGGAGCCAGCACAGGAAACTGTTGATATATTTTCGCCTTTCCCATGTGGCCCGAATATTTCTGTGAAGATCTCGTAATTGGGACAAGTCCGCACACACACTCGAGATGCGAAGGTGTCATCCTACAAAAAATGAAATATTGGATATATTGACACATGCATATAATAAATCGTATAGCATTATACATATGTAAAAACTTAACAAAAAATAAACCTCTAAAAAAGACACTATTGCCGGATTAATTGGGAAAAAAACTCGTTCTTCATTGTTTCAACAGAACAACCCCGAAATCTCCATATCTTTCATCTTGAAATGACGTCTTTTTCAAAAAATAACTACGTCCATCACTAGTCTCAGAGTTAATTGTGGTGCTTGCCGACGTGTACTTATCATCTCTCACAGACGACTCTAGTCTCCTTCGAGGAATTCACCCATGTTGGCAATGTGCCTCTCCAACTTAAATTCTATAAGACAATCCAATAAAACATCTTCTTCATCTTGTGTTAGCCTTAATCGTTTCATTTCTTTTAACCATGGTCGGATAATAATATCCATTAGAAAATGAATGCACGATAAATTATTTAATAACATAACAAAAATTTGCACATTAGTTTACTGATACCAATTCACAAAAGTGAATACATAAATTACAAACATACCATAAGTTGAATATGAAAATATCAAGAAACATGATCATCGCACATAAACGTTCCATCAAACAAATTTCCCCACAAATGAGACCAAAATATTGCAAACATAAATTACAAACATACCAAAATATTTGCACATACCAATGTTTGTTTACAAAATGAACGTTACTACAACGAGCATAATTCCATTTTGTGGGACTGGTTGAATTTCTTGGGAGGGTTTTCTTCCAACCATTTCGTGTGAAATGAGAATTCGTTCACATGCTCTAGTGGGCCATGGATCATTAACAGTGTTGTGTTGTTGTGTATGCATTAGCTTTTTATTTTGCTTCATCACTCGAGCGAAAACATGTTCTGCTAAGGCCTCTTGTGCAACTACGTATGACGAAAACGATTTGTACAAGGTGCCAAGATATCCAGTGACAAGGCCGTGACATTCTTGCAAATATCAACAATTCCTACCCTTCGACCATTGAACACAACATACCATTTCTTTTTCAAACCTATTTTCATTCCTGTTATTGAAGTCATGACTATTGTAAAATGTGAATAACACAAGGAATTCACTTCAGTTTTAAAACACAGACATTAAATACCCAAAACATAATAAGCATAAAGAAATACATTGTGAAATGTGAATAAAAGGCCAAATGATACTTCTACATTGTCTAAATACCACTTTCACACACAACTTAGGAACAACAACGAAGAGTAGAAGACTTCACATAGATGAATAGATTCTAAAACAGGCGAGTAAGGATAAGTACTAATTGTCCATCATAGATGCATTACCCCATAACACGCCAAGAAGCCATGCTAGTCTCTCACTTTCTGGCAAGCTCATGAAGAGGTCCACCTTAATCGGGTCACTAGTAATCTTGCAATCCGTCCTGTGTTGGTGATCCATCGTTAGGCCATCGATTTTTGCTAATTTTGTGTTTAGTTGACTCTTCGCCTCAGCAGCATTTTGCTCGTAATCGACCCTCTGAGCAATGTCTGAGAGTTGTTTTCCACAACTTGACACATAGTCACTAAGTATGTTTGTCATCTTACTTATGTTGTGTTCAATGCCATCAGATGCTTCACCACTTGTCTTCCTTTGTTGTTTACGGCTTGTGGTTATGTCCCTTTGTCCAGCCACACCATGTTAAGTCGTGCTTTTAGATATTCCAATGTCTGCCATGTTTACGTCAGTGTCTACGACATTCTCAGTATCATGCACTTGAACTACCGCATCATCACTCCCAACCATCTCTTCTAAATCTTTGGCATACTCGTTTGTTGCATGGTCTTTGCCAAAAATTATGCTCTAGTCATTGTAGTAAGGCCAACTTTTCTCACGCATTGCGGTCTTTTTGGAAAGCAACAGGCTGTTATTAAATGACTTAATGACGATATTAGTGGGGTTGGGAAGGCAGTACCTTTACATAATTAGCTCAAATGTCGTCCCCTTCAACATTTATCTTTTATTTTGCATCTTTCCACCCGAACCTTGATGTGCTAAGCATGGTGAAGACTGTGTTGCAGGTTTTCTTCCAGTTTTTAATCTTCGACTCAATGTGTGAAGTGGCACAAAGGTCAGTTCCACCTAGTGTATCTTATAAAGCCTTATCTTAGTGGCGCAAATAGCTTGATCTGAGCGCTCCATTTGGGGATTTCTAGCTCTAATTGCGGTGCATTTATAAGCAACAATTCTTCAGACGCTGTCCACATTCGTTTCGGTCACTTATCAAACTGGGAACTTCCCCTAAACTGCAAACTCCTGCCACTTGGCATGTAACCACTACAAAATAGCAGTGAATCCACATGTATGCATATAATTATGTTAAAGTTGCCAAAAAATATGTTTTCAAGAAACTTTAAAGATGTTTTCATACACGCTAAACATCCACTAATACCATTACTTGCATGGAATATAACTTAACCAAAAAAAAAGTAGTTTGATGCAGCGAAAATCATTCACTAAAAACATGCAACAAACTGTCCCTACTAACATCAAGGTACCCTATTACACCTCCAGTCATTGTACATGTCAGCCACTAGTTGATCACGCCATGCGATCCAACCATGCGAAGATTCAATGATATTGATTATGTCATTATCATCTTCAAATGGATGGTCATCCAACTCTTCCGCCACCAGATTATATTCCATCTTGTTCCTAATAAGATTATGAAATAAACAACAAGCAGGAATGATTTTGTTGTGTGTTGTTACAGGTTAAAAACACGTCGTCTTAATGATAGCCCATCGCATTTTAAGTATCTCAAAACACTTTTCTATGACATTCCTCGCTATTGCGTGCCTCAAATTGAAATACTTTTGCGCGTTTTTGGGAGCTGCGGCACCGTTGGAAAACTCTTACAAGTGGTATCATTGGCCAGGAAATGGAGCCAAAAAACCTTCTCCATTTGTGTACCCAGCATCCACAAAGTAATATGTACCTACATGTGCACATAATTGAATAAAACTTAATTGTTGAAGAAACTAACCAAGTCACAAAAATGTCTAAAAAATTTTTTTGTGGCCTTACCAAGTTCCACCTTCAACCCATTCCGTTGTGTGATAGCATATTGCAATACCCTAGAATTAGCCGTAGAGCCCTCCCACTAGGGCAATACGTAGATAAATTTCATGTCTTGCCCACAAAGCGCAACACATTAGTAGTTGTCCACCCCTTCCTGTTCCTATGTCTACCTTGGTGTAGGAGGGGCACTTTTGCCCTAACATGTGTGTCATCTAGTGCCCCTACACATCCCTATAAGCACCAATTGCGATGAAAATAATTGAGTACAAAGGTTTAGTTTAATTTCAATAAGGAAATAATGACAAGCACGTTGTTCGTACTGACTACCTTGAACCACTGCCATTTGGGGTCACTACAACCATCTATAACCGGTTCAAGCCTCTTCAACAATAATCGTCTCAATTTAAAAATAGATTGTAGAACCGCATTGAAGTGTCTGTTCACTATCTCCCTAGACTTAATGAAGTTGAACTTAAAAAAAATTTTTGTGGCCTTACCAAGTTCCACCTTCAACCCATTCCGTTGTGTGATAGCATATTGCAATACCCTAGAATCAGCCATAGAGCCCTCCCACTAGGGCAATATGTAGATAAATTTCATGTCTTGCCCACAAACGCGCAACACATTAGTAGTTGTCCACCCCTTCCTGTTCCTATGTCTACCTTGGTGTAGGAAGGGCACTTTTGCCCTAACATGTGTGTCATCTAGTGCCCCTACACATCCCTATAAGCACCAATTGCGAAGAAAATAATTGAGTACAAAGGTGTAGTTTAATTTCAATAAGAAAATAATGACAAACACGTTGTTCGTACTGACTACCTTGAACCACCGCCATTTGGGGTCACTACAACCATCTATAACTGGTTCAAGCCTCTTCAACAGTAATCGTCTCAATTTAAAAATAGATTGTAGAACCACATTGAAGTGTCTGTTCACTAACTCCCTAGACTTAATGAAGTTGAACTTAACTGAGCGATTCTTGTCATCATGGCCTATGACACTCAAGAACATCGCAACCATCTTTTCGACACCCATATTCTTTGTGTTGGTTAGTTTGCTGATTTTCCAAACTAAGTAGCATAATACGTGGAATGTATGTCTATCCATCTTAAGTTATTCTACACATGTTCTATCGCTTTCTCCAATAAGCCTATGGAGATGGTTACTTTGTGCATGTAACCTATCGATTGACCTAGTCAATACTTGTGTTTTTTGTTTTTCATTTGCCCATAATGCTATCATAACCATCAAAATACAAGCACAAACAATGACAAACTCTCTTACTAAATTATGAAGACAAACAAGCACAACTACTACATTGTCATGTTTACAGGCCATATTCATTGAAATTATATCACAAAAACCTCCAGCATATCAATATTACTAATTACAAAATAAATTTCCAAAAACATTAACTATATAGTTTCTCTATGTATGTAAGAAAATATATGAAATAGAATGTATGCATGATAATTCAACAATCAACTAATAATTATAACTAGTAGGCATAATACATATTTATTTGTAACGGACATAACACATTTTATTTTTTGGTGGACAAAGAATATGTTTTATATGATATGTATATTGGTTTCTTGCTCTGTAGCATACTGCTGGACAAAGTTGAGGAAATGGTGGGCAACAAGAGCCAAATTTATTTGTCGAAATCAAATTTCTTGTGATGCTAATCAATGTAAAACTTGTCTAAAATATTAATCTAATCTAATTGTTCAAAAGCAAGTTATAATCATAATTAAAGAACCAAAGCAATACTTAAAAATGCGTAGGACAAAGACAAAAATCTTCTTAGGTGTAACCACTTTTATATAGCTAGGATAGGATAACTAAAGTAAGTTTTCCCATATTCCTTCCTTATGTTCCTAGCAGCAAGCTCATCAATCCTTTTTTTTTTCTGATAAAAATGGGTTAATTCACTAAAAATTTGGATACCTATTGTAGTTCAAGATCTAACCAAAAACTTTCTAAGAGAGAATAATTTATTCTCTCAAGATAAATACTATCTTTTATGACGTAGAGGACTAGGTAACTATCATTCTTATTCCTGGAGAGGTATCCTCATCCGTTTCATGACATCTTCCTTCATGTTTTCTAATCTTCTTGACAAACCATTTATTAAATATATAATCTGTGATCAAATAATAAAAAAGACTTGGGTCGATTTTCTCTCTGTTGTTGTTTGATGGACTTGATGAAGAGAAGTAGGATAGCTGAATTATGAATTCGCTTTGGGTCAAATGTCATCATAGACTTGCTAACTCATGAAAAACATGTTTAACATATGTAATTTTTTTCTTAAAAGGATAAAAGCCCAACATAAATACAATTTCTTAGGTTTAAGCCATTTTCAATGTAGCAGCCAACAACTTCTTCACCTTAAAATACATTTTGTCTTTTCCTCAAACATCTCTTTCAATATATTTATTTGCTCTTCAACTTTTTTTTTTTTGGGGGGGGGGGCAAATCATCTACTATTAATGAATGAACTTGTATAGAATCAATCTCATTTTAATGTAAGATAGATAATCAGTAAAAAAAATATTGAAGAAAAAATATAGTGAATAAGATCTCACTAAAGAATTTTTACCTGTGTTTTTTTTCTTTTTTAAGATAATTTGCTTGAATTCCCTTAGAATCCGTGTGGATTAACTTCTAAACAGGAAAAAAAGCATCTTTATTCTTCACAACACATTCCCACTTTTTGCCAATAATTCTTGTCTAATATTCCATGGGCTAACAAATTTTCTTGCAACAGATGACTTCTAGATGGTCAAAAAAAACACGTAGAAAGAGTATACAAGTAAGCCATCTACTTTGAAGGAGGAATATTATATATTTATACTTTGCCCTCTTAAATTAATTATAAACTTAATTTAAAACATGGTTAATCAAGTATATTCACTTCCTTCTTTTTCTGAATAACCATGTTTGAAGAAAACCCCCCCTTCGAACTCCATATATCTTTTGAATCTATACAAATATACTTGATCAATAAAAACACAAAAATTAATTTAATTTTGTTTGCATAACATTCAAATACTTACTGGCATATGCATTACATTTAGTAATTCAACATTCAATCAGTGCATTGCACAAAAAGAGATAACAGTGAAGTGAATCAAATGAAAGAGAGATGTAGCATGATTTATAGTAGCAGCATAAACACCATATCGTTTTGTATATATACTTGATCAATCAACACACAAAAATTGAACATTAATTTTTCACAAAACCTGACGGAGAAGGTATGAATAAAAACCATATTTCACCAATTTTTCCACTAACCTCCAAATCAATCTCCAATGCACTGCTCAGTACAGACAACCACCCCAACCCAGCACTCACAGATGCTCAATGTAAATGCGAAACTGGAACATTAAGACCAATGCGAAATTAAAAAATGGAGAACAAAATTAAGTCTAAGATATTACCAATAACAAAAACAAAAAACAAATTTCACAGCATTCCAAACAACCACCCCACCCCAACCCTCTGATGAATAGTGTCTCTCTCTACAATAACGATTTCTAGGGTTTTATTTCTACACCCTATTTCTTAATACCACAGTTTATTTTTTTCTTTTTCACAATTTTCTTCGTTCCAACTGTTTCATCTGAATCGAGTGCAATGAAATTTTTCTGAGAAGATAGTCAAATACAAATCTAAAAAAAATCTTCAAACAATTAACTATCAAAATTGGCAGATCTGCGAAAATATTTGTCAAAAGCAAACAAAGGGGTTCTTAGTGAGTTTTCAGTGGGTTTGCTGGATTTAAAAAAGGTGCCAAAATACACTATCAACTCACACATGTGAAGAACTCAAGGATTGTGCGAAAAAGAGAAGAATTACCTTGGCTTGATGTGTTTCGATTGAACAACAAGAGGGGTTTATATAGGGCAAACAAAGCATCTTTGAACAATGATTGACTTGATATTGACTTAAGGATATCTCTGCAACAGATTTTCCACAGATTTGTCAAAGATTTTTTGCAGATCGAACAACAGAAGGGGTTGATTTCTTCAATCGTTTCCAGTGAACAACGTGAGGGGTCTCTGCATTTGGTCTTTCGCACAGATTTCCCAAAGATTTTTTGCAGGTCAGTGTATTTTCTAGAAGAATGTTGTCTGTGTTGATTGATCGTAGGTCAATTCTTTAGGAACTGTATGGGAATCTTGTGTCTGTGTTGATTGTAGGTTAGTTTTGAGAGATGTGTGAATAGGGTAACATGAGGTATATGAGATATATGGGGGTTTAAATTTCATTTTCTTGTTCAACCCTTTAACCCACATATGAAACTCACCTCCCATTGAGTTTCATGAAACCCATGAAGTTGGGTTTAATTTTTGGGCATAAAATGGGCTGAGTTTCAAACTCTGGGCTAGCTATGTATTTGTCAAACATGAGTTTGCTAGGTTTTGTTCCCCAACCCATGTTCCAAACCCCCTCCCCCCCCCCCTAAAAAAAATACCCACAAATCAAACACGCCCTAAGGGCATGTTGTTTCAAGGATTAGATTTGGGTGGTATTGGAAATGATAATCATTCCACTCCTATCCAATGAGATATTATACCAGTATTAAACATTTATCTCATCCTTCCTCTTGTTTGTTTGTTACAAAAATTAATTGTGTGATACCTACCTAAAAAGTTGTGTCAAGTGAACTATTCAATATAAAAAGACAATTTATTGTCTAAAAGGTACCAAACAAAATACAAACATAGTTCAAGAAAGTCTACCTAAAACATAGTAAAGAACATGGGTTAGTATCATAGCCAAAACATGATGGGTTTTTTTTTGTGTAGTTTAGTTTGTGTTGATTTGGATGATGACCCGACCTAAAATAATGTTGCGTAATTTTTTTTTTTGGCTTGTTTTGTAACCCGGTATGCAGGACATATAAAAACTGTTATTTTGGTGATTAGGATTGGATTGAAATTGTACAACCGCTCTATGTATTCTTTATTCTTAATAGTGAAATCCCTGCAGCTTGTAGACATGGACAAATTGCCGAACCATGTAAATACTTTCTTTTGTGTATGATTGATTTTTCTTCAGTGTGTGTTTTCGTGCAAATTTTCCTAACAAAACAAACATCACAATACATATGAGATAGTTACCAACATTACAGTCTCCCTCGCCCTCATCATCATGCCCAACAACTGTCGGGATTGCTAGAGGAATGTCCGTTGCATCTTCTACACGAAGATTATGCAGAGGTTGATTTTGATGGACAGCCACTTCACATTCAGTTTGGACATCTCTTACATCTCCATTCTCAAAGTACGTGCGCAATGCGTTTTCAGTCTCGTCGTATGAATCATAAGACTTGTACAACGTGCTTGGGTATCTATTCACTTGCACATGACATTCTTGCTGTTGAGATTTAACTTCGATTTAAATTCACTAACAAACACACACAATCGAAGAACAAATCAAGAATATAAAGCAATAAGAAACAAGAAAGAACAAGACACAGATTTTACGTGATTCGGCAATTTGCCTACGTCCACGAAGCTGCAGGGATTTCACTATTGAGAGAGTTGGATTACAGAGAGCGGCTGTACCATCCACACAAAACCCTAATCACCAAAACAACAGGGTTTATATGTCCTACGCACTGGGCTGTATAACGGGCCCAAAAAATTTTCCATGGACTAAGCCTTCGCTCCATGGGCTGTATATCAGCTGTATATCGGTCCAAGCCTTCGCTCCATGGACTAAGCCTCAGAAAATTTTTCATTAAAAACCACACAACATTATTTCAGGTCGGATCATCATCTGGATCACATATACAAACTAGACTCCATAAAAAAAACCAACACTTGCCATGTCATATAGATACCAACTTCTCTTCCAACAAACACGATGTAAAAATGTGTTCTACTGTGCATCACTTGTCTAGCTAAACACGGGTTAGTATATTTCTAGGCAAGTGCATACCAATATAAAAAGCAAGTGGTAATAAATATCATATCTTCATTATGCAAGTACGACTAAGTTGTTCAAACTTCATAATAAACATCAACCAAAACGTACTTACAACATATTTTACATACGGACATAGGTGAACAAGCAAAAAAATGGACAATATACCATGTCACTTTATAAGGTCTATATGACTAAGTCCACTTATATCACGTCAAGAAAAAGTACCATCAAGCCAACTTCCTTACACCCAAGATGGCTTTAACCCTACACCTGCTGTTAGCTCGATCCGTACAACAATTTCCTTACCCAAGATGACTTTGAAGCGTCAGACAAGTTAAAGAACAAGTCAACCTTAACCGGATTAGAGGCAATTCTGTAACTAGCCTTAAATAGTAGATCCTCATCAAGCCACCCAATTTTCTCAAGTTTAGCAAAGATTTTTCTCCTCGATTCAGAAACATCTTGGCCATGGCCTACCCTATGTGAAATATTATCGAGCTTACGACCAAAAGTAGCAACACAATCACCTAACACCCTTGTCATATCATCCAAGCTATCTACAATAACCTTGGTAGCTGTCGAAGCCTTTCTCTTCTTCGTCTTTTTGGTAATGGGGGTGTCAGTGGAAACATCCATGCTTTGAGTCGTACTATGACTTGCGCCATTTGTCTCATTTTCATTGTTAATGCTTGTCAACTCAACTTCATGATTTGCATCTTCATTATCATTCCCTCCAATCATTTCATCAACATCCTTACCAAATTCTCATGTTGTGCGATCCCTGCCAAAAATAATTCCCCAATCTTTGTAGTATGGCTAACATTTTTCATGCATCCTCTTAGCCTGCTTATCTTTCTACAACAATTATACCACCAAATAACATGCCTCGAATAAGGGGAGTTATAAAAATAACAAAATACCTCTATTAATTAAACAATGGTATATCAAACTAAATTACCTTTAAACATTCCTCCCAAACATCTTCAGAATCAACCTCGATTTTGTTATCAGTGTCATTAAACCCGAAACCACTCTTGTTCATCATAGATAGTATACAATTGTACTACCTTTTCCACATTTTTATCTTTGATTCAATGTGGGGTTGTGCACGAAGCGTATCTAGCATCTACAAATAACCTGGCCTAAATTTACCCTTAGGACACTTCAACCCTGCTGCACATAGATTCTGCAATGCGTCCAGTAGTTGTCTCTTCCGCACTTGTCCATATTCGTTAGATACTTTTTTCAACCTTCCGAACAACACTCATAACATGGGAGCTGCCAACACTAACCATATATATCAATTGCAATACGACAAATGTAGAATATATTGCACAATAACACCACCAAATAAATTGTTTTACATCCATTAATCAAACCAGACAAAGTATCAATAACACATTACAAACACATCAGCCATTTAGTTTACTAATTTAAGGTCAAAAAATAACCACCTCCCCTATCAAAATTCATCTACCCATCTACCATTCCTTGTACATTTCAGTCACCAACTGAGTCCTCCAAGCAGTCCATGCAGGAGAGGTCTCGACACTATCAACTACATTTGTGTTGGTATTGTCATCGTTATCATTAAGAATATACTTAGGTATGTGTTCTTCCAATGGGTCAACTGGCATCTCATTTCTAATGAAATTATGCAACAAACAACAAGCAGCAATAATTCTATTACGTGTGGGGACTGGGTGGTAATAGGTAGTTCGAAGGATTGCCCATTGCATCTTGAACAGAGCAAAACACCTCTCAATAACATTTCGGGCAGCTAAATGTTTTAGGTTAAAGTATTCCTCAGCATTACGAGGAACTGTCCTTCCACTTCGTCAAGATGATATTGTTGACCCCTAAAAGGAAATAAGAAACTCTCACCATTGGTGTACCCAGCATCGCATAAATAATATGTGTTTGTCGTAATTGTGTATACACTCATTAGTAAACAATTTCCAAAAAAATAAGACTAATGTTGAAAATTTCCATTATAGCTTACCCCGTTAAACACGTAACCCAGTACGCCTTGTAACTGCGTCGCGAAGGACTCGTGAATCTACCATTGATCCCTCCCAACTAGGCAAAACATAAATGATTTTCATGTTAGGCGCACATACACCTAACACATCTGTTGCAATTTGCCCTTTCCTTGTCCTATATCTTGCTTGGTGCACAAGTGACACTTTTGCTCTTATGTGAGTGTCATATAAAGCCCCAACACAGTTTTATGCGATATGAAATAAACATATTATGAACTGATATTTCACTATCTACATACTATGTGACGTGACAACTCAAATGTGGATATACTTTAAAAAACTTAGAATACCTTAAAAAACTTTCACTTATGATCAATGCATTCATCCGTAATTGGATCAGGGATTGCAAGCAGTAATCGATATAGCCTAAGAACCGCCAACAACACTGTATTGAAATACTTGTTAATCGTCTCACTGGATCTAATGAAACTGAATTTTACTGGTCTATTCTTATGATCATGACTAATAATGCTCAAGAACATAGCTACCATCTCTTCAATGCTAACATTCCTTGTACTACTGAGCCCACCAACCTGTTCAACTAGTGTGCACAATATAGAGAAACTTCGTCGGTTCATCCTAAGTTGATTGTAGCATGTTATATCACTTTCACCTATCAGTATAGTGAGATGCTCTATTTGGAGTCGAGTTCGCATGACCGAGCTTGAGATACTATTGTTGTTTTGAATTTCTAGAAATACTTGCTAACACTGCATTGAAATACTTGCTAATCGTCTCACCGGATCTAATGAAACTGAATTTTACTGGTCTATTCTTATGATCATGACTAATAATGCTCAAGAACATAGCTACCATTTCTTCAATGCTAACATTCCTTGTACTACTGAGCCCACCAACCTGTTCAACTAGTGTGCACAATATAAAGAAACTTCGTTGGTCCATCCTAAGTTGATTGTAGCATGTTATATCACTTTCACCTATCAGTCTAGTGAGATGCTCTATTTGCAGTCGAGTTCACATGACTGAGCTTGGGATACTATTGTTGTTTTGAATTTCTAGAATTTCCAGCAAATTTGCAATTACAACAATCAAACATGAGCATATCATAACTATATCAAAGAGGACACTATCCAAAACAACCACCAATGGCACACTACGATCATTGTCTTTATCCATAACAACTGTCACTCACACAAATTATAGTAAACAAACAGCTCTTGTTATGGAGCTCTTTAAATTTTCAAAACATATTACAGGAACAACCATGCATATAAAATTCCGCAACAACTAATCATCCATATGATCACAACAAAGAATAATCTTTTTTTTTGTTAAACTATAAAAAAAAAATCATACAAACATTCTGGGCATTATAAGGGCTAAAATATGGATAGGGCCAACATTCCGCAACAAATATGAAACAAACTCAAAAAAAATCGAATAGGTGTATTTCACTAAAATAAGAAAAAAATATTTTGGCCTTGTATTTTTTTTTTTGAACAAAAAAAAAACAAATGTTCACAAGAATACAATTTGATTGAGAAATGGTTAAATAAACAAAAAAACACCAACATTAGAAAGCAATTTGACTGAGAAATTAGAACTCGATGTATTACCATTAGTAATTCATTATACAAGTACAAAGTGACTTAAGGGCAGGAGACATCTCTCCCATTATAAGAATTATTGATGGGGAAGTTGACCATACCATGTAAAAGAAGACAAAAAGATCGTTTCAATATCGTTTTCAATATAGAAGATAGAAAGGTCCTCTAAAAATAGTGGCCTTGGGGTGACCTCAAAATGCTTCAATGTCGTTTTCTTTGGAATATACTCCAATCTGGTTCACAGGAACACAAATAGAAAAGCCCCAAGGCAGAACACCTCCCGCCCCCAAAAAAAAAAAACAGAATGCATTACAACATATTGTTATTGTTATTTGAGAGGCTGACATAGACTTTACTACGAACGTACTGGTGTGCTATTTGCAGAAAAAGGGTTTCAGCATCGTGAAGATCTGCCTAGGGATATACTAGCATTCATAGTGGCTAAAGAGATACAAGCTTTGGGAGTGGCTAGGGTTTCATTGTCGGTTAAAGTGGCTAGGGCTTCGGCATCGAGGCGAGTGGCTAGGGTTTCACCATGGGTAGGGTTTGATCATCGTTGACGGAGGCGACTGATGGTACAACATCTTGAGGGAGGCGATTGATAGTTTCATCGAGTGGCTAGGGTTTGTTTCTGAGAAAGTTGGCTTTTATATGGGGCATTGTACATGAGAAAATTTGTGTTATTTTACTCTATTATACCGTCCTTGCAATTGTACCGGGAACATAATACCATCGGGCAGGTGGTGTTCATTAATACCATATAGAAAGCATTTAAGTCACTATTCATACTGGGTCAGTATTACAACCCGAAAAATAGTACTAATAATAAACTATCAAACAAACAAGGTATAAGGTGGGCCCATGTACTATTTTCCTAATCCCACCTCTTTATACCACCCTTATCCTCCAACCAAACATGCCCTAAGGGTGTAGCTAGCTTACCTCAACAAGTTGGTAACTCGACCTCTAAATGTGGTACCTCTTCCTCTAAAATAGTAACTTAACTTAACTTTTCCTCTAAAAGTGGCAATTTTACCTCTAAAAGTAGTAACCCAATCGACAATTGTTGTAACTTCAAAATATGAAGATGATAATTTTATATTTTAAGGGTGTAACATTACCTCTAAAAGTGACACTTTTACCTCTAAACACAATAACTTAATCGATAAATGTTATAACTTTTTGTGTTGAGGTGATAACTTTATGTTTAAGGTTGTAAATTCTCTAAAAGAAGTGTTTTTACATTGAAAGTAGTAACCCAACATATAATCATTTGACTTGACCAAAAAAAACCTATAATCATATTAAATTTACCTTTAAGGTGCCAATTTTCCCTAAGCTACAACTTTTCTAATTGAAAGCACACCCATGAAACTCAATTGATAAAAAACTTAGGAAACAAAATTCTTTCTCTATACACATGTAAATGTTGCCTAGAAAACCCGACAGCTCAAAAATCCAAATCATACTTTATTTATATACACAGTCTATATATACGCATATATATTCATCTACACGCACACACAATTCTTTGAATTCGGTGGAATTCGTTGATGGTTGCAAACCAGTTGCGACATTGGTATAAATTTGATTTTGATTGTGTATTGGGCCGGGATAGTATTTTACGCGCATCAATTATGTATAAAACTTACGCAGGGTTAGAATTGAAGGATTCCATTTTTTTTGCACTTTGGTCAAAGGGGAGTTTAGCACAAAAGTTCAAAGTTGTGGGAGGTTATCTACTTCCACCCCTAAATACAGGGTATGTTTTGCAATTAATCCTATAAATTATAGTCGAGATATTGGGACATAATTTAGAAGCATATTAATAATAGTCATTAAATTGTGTCCCAATAACATTAATGTTTATTGTAATTAGCTATCAATAGTCCTTTTGAAGGTGACGATCGTGTTGTATTGTGTCATGCTTGTGTCGTGTCATTTTCAAGTTTGTATCGAGCACTGGTCAACCTAATTCAATCCGTTTAATTAATCATGTCGTGTCGACATTGTATTTATGTTGATTCATATAATCCGTGAACAAAAAATTTAACGTTTAAATTTATGTCTAAAATTTTATTGTCACTTAATCAAATTTATAATCATTTTTTTATAAACTAAAAATCAACTTAATAAATATAATAATAAAAATAAGTAAATTTTTTTTTTATAAGAATTAGATCATTACTTGATAAAATGTAATAAAAAATTGTTATTTTTTTTATAATACTACTTAAATGTATTAATTATATTAATTTCATGTTATTTGTGTTTGACACTGACTCAACCTATTTATTATTTGTATTAACGGATCGTATCATATACAAATTCGCATTAAAAAATTGTTAATCCTAACCTACTAGTTTAGTGCCAATTTTGAGTCATCTTATCGTGTTTATATTAAAAATTTTCATCTCCAAGTATTTTTCTTTAGAAAAAACTGTTAAATAGACTTTAAAAAATTGATTTAAAAACTTAAATTAATAAATCAATATCGTAGATTAGATAATAAATCTTAATAAATACTAAAATTTATAATTAAATTAATAATAAATATAACAATCACATTATTAAGTTAAATTTTTAGTTATGTAGCGTTACTTTTTCTTATATAAACCCATCATTGTGACATGTCTGAATCTGTGATAACTTCCAGCGGACACCCCATCCTCCCTCTTTTAAACTTCCACCAGTGCCACTGTAGTCGCCACCGCCCGACCGCCGCAAGGGGTGGCGTGACTGAATTTGTTGTTGAAATCAAAGCTAGAAACAGTTATGAGTACTTCGCAAGATGGTCTATACCAACCTATGCTACAAAACAACCCACCATCCTTGTCACCACATTCATCAGAACAGCAGAATGAATTTTCCAGCGATCAGCTCGAAAGTATATTAGCTGATAGAGAGGTGCCATTTCAGAGGCGTCTCCGGCCGGCGACGTGGATTGAACTGAAGCTACTCTTCCACCTTGCTGCTCCAGCGGTGGCTGTTTACATGATCAATTACCTGATGTCTATGTCCACCCAAATCTTCTCTGGTCATCTTGGTAATCTTGAGCTTGCTGCTGCCTCCCTTGGCAACACTGGCATCCAAACATTTGCTTATGGTCTCATGGTATTCATCTCTGTCAATCTCTCTCTCTCTTGTGTATATCATCTACAACAAAACAGAAAATTACTAATAGTGTTTGTCTCACATTGAGATTAGAACCCGTGTATAAATTTGTTGATCTCTCCGGCTATATATTACTGATTGATTTTGAATTGATTTTCATCCCTCAATACTATATGTCAACATGAACTTTATTCCTCTGTGCCAATCAACAGCTAGGTATGGCAAGTGCCGTAGAAACACTATGTGGACAAGCATATGGAGCAAAAAAATTCGAAATGCTAGGCATTTATCTACAAAGATCGACAATCCTACTCACAGCATCCGGTGTCCTACTCACTTTCATCTATATTTTCTCCAAACCCATCCTCATACTACTCGGCGAATCGCCGGAAATTGCATCGGCGGCTGCTGTATTCGTCTACGGCCTAATTCCTCAAATATTCGCATATGCCGTGAACTTCCCTATACAAAAATATCTACAAGCTCAAAGCATTGTGGCACCAAGTGCTTATATCTCAACAGTCACATTAGTCCTACATATGGTCCTGAGTTGGTTGGCTGTATATAAGTTTGGACTTGGGTTGTTGGGAGCTTCAGCTGTGTTGAGCCTGTCGTGGTGGATAATTGTGGTGGCTCAGTTTATGTACATAGTGACAAGTGAGAGGTGCAAGAAGACATGGGGTGGGTTTAGTTTTCAGGCATTTTCTGGGCTGCCGGGGTTCTTTAAACTGTCGGCGGCGTCCGCGTTGATGTTGTGCTTGGAGAGTTGGTACTTTCAGATCTTGGTTCTGTTGGCTGGGTTACTGGATAATCCTGAGTTGTCTTTGGATGCTCTCTCTATTTGGTAAGCGACAAGGCCTCATGTTTTTTATTTGCTTGATTACTCGGTTCCGAGTAAAGTTATTTAAATTTAATTTATGTGATCGTGTGATTATGCTACTGAATGGATTAATGAATGTTTGATCGGGACTAATTGCAGCATGACGATTTCTGGATGGGTGTTCACGATATCACTTGGTCTCAATGCAGCCGCAAGGTTAGCAATCATCGTTTTGCCCCCTCCCCCCCCCCCCCCCCCCCTCTCTCTCTCTCTCATGCATACTCATACCGGACTAATAGGTTATTAGGCATTTTTTTTTTTGGTCAAAGGTTATTAGCCATATGTATAGTACAAATACTGGATAATACTTAGATTGAATGGATAAAAAAATATACATCAAATGATATGGCTAGCAAAATTTGAATTTTAAATAAATAAAATAGGATCAAAAGAACCACCATGCCAATGGGGTTTGTTTACTGCTTGTGTTTGGTCTTTTTTTGTATGTTTAGTATTTACCCAAAAAAAATCTATGATTCACAAAATTGAAATTTGAGATAATGGTAAGGTAAAAAAAAGTTACCAAATAATAAGATTTTATGAAAAAAATCCAAAATTTATCTAAAAAACACATAAACTAGTTAAGGTCAAATTGTGTTTTTGAAAATGTCAAGCGGTTGCAAAAATTTTGTGGATAAATCTCAGTGTTGCAATTTTAATTTCAAAGGACACACTTAACTTTCATAATATCAGACTACCAGGCGACTGTTGAATAAAAATAGGGGTCGATGATTGTGTGGAGAGAGAGACTCTTATTTGACATGTTTTCTAGCAAACTAATTACCAATTTAATATTTTTAAAATAAATTTATTAAATTATAACATGTTTATACTTATTTAATAAACTATGATATTTTTTTAAAAAAAAATAATTTATGTCCGGATGAATTGTAAACCCGAGGGTTTACGTCGTCCAATAATAGTGTGGCACACTGTATAGTGATGTCTTTTTCTTGCCATTTACTTTAGAATCCATTTCTCTCTTACACACACTGACTGAGTTAAAGTTAATCCAGTTGAGGGTTGAATGAAGTGGTGATGGGTGGTGTGATGGTGGGTTTACAATGGTCATCATTGACGGGTAGGAGGAATCGGACGGCCGGGGAGGGTGGAGTACACCGACGGTAAAGAGACCCGTGGGAAAAATTATAAAAACGCCGAGAAGAAGATAGAAAGAGGAGAGAGATGGACGAAGAGAAAAATGGAGGAAGTACAGTGGGTTGTCTCATGGGAATACAAAAGATAGTGGGAAAAACGAAAAGCAGTCATCTCCTACTCCTTTCTATTTATTTCGTACAATATTTTCTTTTAAAAAACTCTTGCGTGGCATGCTTTAATTGGATGGCGTAAATTAGTTTTACGAAATATCCGGATATAGCTATATCGGCCTTCAAAAAGAGCGTTATTGACCGGGAGCAGTCTACTTTCTCAACAACTTGGGTTGGTTCCTGTATTTTTCTACGTACAATCTGTCCACATTACCTGATTTCTGACACACTTCGACTGCCCCAGTCTCATTTTCACATGGCGACGACTTGAGTACCGCAAAAGGGCAAACCGGTACCGTACCGCCAAATATTTCTAGCCATTGATTTGAAATCTTTTATTCACAACCATCGATCTCCACTTTTTATTTTTGCAACTTTAACTTGCTACTTGATCACACGGTCACTTATTATACATCACTATATTTGAGATTCATCACAAACAGATTGAAGTTTTTTTATGCACATTTTAGTTAATTCTCTCTGATTAAAGACAAGTCATCTACATCAGAATTAAGATATTCATAATAGATAAATCTCTCATCACTTAGTTGAATCTCAGTACGTCTGAGTTTATGATTTATTAAAAATTTTATTATCATAATGATGATTTATGAGACTTGTTTGAGGGATTTTACATTAATAAGTGAAGTTAATTTGACGATGGAGTGAGTGCAGTGTAAGAGTAAGCAATGAGCTAGGAGCTGGGCATCCGAAGTCTGCTGCATTCTCCGTTGTGATTGTGACTTTAATCTCTTTCCTTATCTCGGTGATAGCAGCCATAGTCGTGCTTGCATTTCGCCACGTCATCAGCTATGCGTTCACAGAAGGAGAAGTTGTGTCCAATGCCGTCTCAGATCTCAGTCCTCTCCTTGCCCTTACCTTACTTCTCAACGGTGTCCAACCTGTCTTATCTGGTAAGTTTTTCTCTAACACTACTTTATATAATATGTGGGTGTCAAAATTCATGCACATTCATGGACTGGTTAATGGAGGTATTGACGTACATCTCATGGGACAACACACTTTAAAGATCAGTCTAGAGGTGGCAAATGGGGGTCATTTCATGGACATAGATTTTTTGGTGGTTAATGAAGGGTATTGATGTGCATCTCACATGGGACTATACACTTAAAAGATCATTAGAGGTGGCAAATGGTCGCGTTAGGTGTAACACAAATTCAATCTATTTTTAACTCGTTTAATAAATGGGATAATGAGTTAAATCATAATAAGTTCGGTTAAATTCATTAACTTGTAAAATAATTAAAACACTAAATATAAACTCATACTAATATATGAAATAAAGCATACCCTAATATAAAAAACAATACGCACACTAACATAGTTAAACACACACACACACATTAGTAGACCAAAACACAAACACACACTAACACTAATACACCAATCTTGGTAGGAGATGCATTCACGTTTGCGGTCGGGGGTCTGGGGTTGGCAAAGGTTTGTGGTCGAGGTCGGGTTGTATATGTATCTTTTGGTGTACTACTCTGTGTGTGTGTATGTTTTAGTGTATTTTTGTGTATATTTTTGGATAAATTAGTGTGTGTATTTGATTTTATTGTTTTTGTTATTTAATACAAAAAGATAAATACTTAACTCAATGAGTACCCATTTATAGTTTATCTTAACCCACTTAATTAATATGAGTGCTATTACATAACTCATTTAGAACCCGTATTAATTAATATAAGTAACTAACTCATATTTTTACAGGAGGGTTAATGTGTAATGAGTTAAAATTATCACCGGTAAAGATCATTGTGATCTATTAAGTTGTAATTTGAGTAATTTTAGTGGTTCAAGTTTACAATTTAAATTACTTTTTCTTTCAAGTATCAAAAGAATGCCCCTCAAATGTGATCATTTAACCATCTTTGCAAGTCAATTTAAACTGTAATTAGACTAAAGAGACAAATTAAAAATTGGGAAATTAAAATGACAATTAAAAAATAAGGATGAAAGTGATACAATTTGCATACTTAAAAAGGCAATTATTGTATTTTGGCTATCCATGAACTATAATTTGTATTTCGGATTTGAGCAACAAATCAAAGTGTTATGAATCAGTGATGGAGTTTGCCGACCTAATCCTGCCCTTGGATTGACAGTGGATTCCATAGAATATTAGAACTTGATGTTAATGAAATAGTTACAATGTAAAGCCCTCTTTTTTAACAAAAAAAGTTTGAGATAAGTTTGAAAATTTAAAACTCGTTGTATTTTACTATATAGATTTTGGGAGAAAAATGTCATTAAAATATTGTAGTTCACTTAAAGGCCTTATATTTACAATTTTGGTCTGAATTTCTTTAAATTAATCCTTTAATTTAACTTCATATTTGACTGGTGAAGGTGTGGCTGTTGGGTGTGGATGGCAAACTTTCGTTGCATACGTCAACGTGAGCTGTTATTATGTGGTTGGAGTCCCATTGGGTTCCTTCCTTGGTTTTTACTTGAAACTTGGCGCGAAGGTAAATTCTAATATTTATTGTCATACTACGAATATATGAGAGTTTTCCTTGTTCAATCTGTGAATACATAGGAGATAGTGGATGCTCATTAGCTTGTAGCAATGTTCACTGCAAAATTTTGGAATGAATGTGTGCATTTACAAGTAGGTTGGATACGGATCCAGTTCAAATCACCAATAACTATATCATTTGGTTCCATCACGAACCCAATTATTGGGTCCCAGATGCTTAAACTTTCGAAAAGTTGGAAAACCCTCAAAATGAGACGATCCAAATCCATGACTTATGTAATTTAATTATTTGTTGGGAATGCAGGGAATATGGTCCGGGATGATTGGTGGCACAATAATGCAAACCATGATTTTAGTTTGGATCACATTTCGAACAGACTGGAATAGAGAGGTATGTTTCCGTAATTCTATGATCCAGTTAAGGTGTGAAAACAGCTTTTGGTTGATTTGGAGACTTTTTTGAGCTAAAATACAACACAAAATCTTATTTGGGCTAAAATGCATATTTTTAAAAAATGACAATATTGACATTTAGTAAATAACTGATGGGTTGAAACCCTTTGTATTCCTTCCATATATTTTGGCTACAATCAAGTAATGAGAGGTAAAATAGAGACATATTTTCTCTAACAATTTTTCTCTCTCCCTCTCTTTCTCTCCTTATTTTCTCCTATTCTATTTATATTAATATTACAACAACATAATTACACTAATTAGTTATATCAATCAGTTATAATTGTCTTATAATACACCAAACAGTTACTCATACGGTATAAAAAAACTAAACAGTTATACAAAACAATTACACAAAATTATGATACTAACCCAATTTATCATACAGCTGTTTACATAAATTAAATAGTTGCACCATTTAATATCGCGGCATCGTTACACCATCATGTCTTAACAATTGTACGAGACTATGATTGTTGCACCTATTAAAAAAATAGTTGCACTCATTACAAAAAAAACAGTTACACCCATTAAAATATAGTTAAACTCATTAAAAAATAGTTACACCCAATAGTTACCTCTCATTACTATTGTTAATTTTTACATATTTATTTTGTCAAATAAATGTCCATGATGACTGCATAATTTAAAGAAAGGTGTTTATGTAAAAAAGTTTTTAATTCATTTGAATTTTGTGCCTAAACACAAAAGGTTTTATAAAAATTATACTTAATATAGTAAATAATTTATCCATACAATTTTGCTCAAATAAGTCTAAAAAATTATACTCACACCTAAAAAAACCCTTCAATAATCTCAACTAGGCCCAAGGCCCAAGGCATGAAACTACGGAAACATAAATGCGAGGGAAGAAGAAAAGAAACCACTCAACAAAAACTTAGAGAAGTCCAAAACTCTACTTGTAGGTTTGTGGGGTTTGACTGTTACTTGGATTGCCAGCAAATTAGGAAATAGCCCATGGCCCATGGGCAGCCTCGTTAGGCTAGTTGCCTATCTAGCCAATTACTTTCATCACTTTTGGCCCATAGACAGACTGATTGCCCAATAGATATGGATGTGGCCTTGGTTTGGACCTGATGCGTTACCTTACCGCAATTAACACCCGCAAAGCATTCCCATCCATTGGCCCAAATAATTTCAACTGCATGTAGCATAAAATAAAATAAAAACCAAAAAAATAAACCCAACTCGATATATTGACCAATCAGTGGTCCAATTGTTGGCCCGTGGCCCGTCATGGGCCATTGACTGGCGGACTGGGAAGTGGCATGGCCATCTCTCTTGCCTAGTCCGTTCAAAAAAAATTTGGGTGGGCATTATGCCAAAAAAAAAAAAAAAAAAACAATTTGGAGGCCAACATGTCTAGGACAAGTACCCTAAAGTGCACCTCGATTAATCCCTTCTTCGGTCTAGCCAGTCTGATCAATGACGGGTCATTTATGTTCATTCATGAGAGATAAATTATTCATGAATTGATCACCAGAAATTGTCAAGATTTAAATAAAAGTTTACCACAACAGGGCAAAACTTTGTTTATACTGGTGAGACTGGTTGTGTTGTAACTGTTCTTTGTAAATGTCCAACGTAATTGCATTTGAATTACAGGTGGAACAAGCAATGAAGAGATTGTATAAGTGGGAATGTGAGAAAGAACAACCCTGGAAGAGCTAAAAGATGCTTATTTTTGATCTTCCTCAATGCTAAGGCCACCTTACTTGCCCCCAATGAGCAACTAAGATATGAAAAACTATAGAGAAACTATTAATGTAATCGACAATTAATGACTCTTGAGTGTTACATATATGTTTGATCTTTCTTTTTTCTATCTTTGGTCATTCTCTTTAAGTTCATTAATTGTCGATTTCTAAATTTTCTGTTGTGCTACATTTGTCATATATAAGTTGGTGCACACGCGCGTTACACGTGGATTATTTTTAAAATAAAGTTTTTGTTTTTATGTGTTTTAAGATATAGCACTAACATATTTCAAAGTATCTATTTGAAGCTCTAATGATCTAGACCAAAAAAATGCAGTGAAAAAGACAACATATTACAATACCAGTTGTTGTGCTCTTGGTAAAAATAAGTGTCAATCCAAGCTTGTAGTTTTGTTTGTTAGATTTGCACCAAGAGAAGTTTGAATTATAAAGATAATTTTCTTTATGATAATAGTTGATTCACCGCCATACGGTGTATGTGAAAAGCCTTGAGATGTCAGTTGAGTTGTATCTCAAACAAATGTGAAGAAATGGAGGTTATAATATGTCTCTGGTTGCTCTATCACCAAACTCTACTTAAAACAGCCTTCCGTAACATCCTATCTTGTCAACCAATTTAACTGCAACACCGCTTATGGCATTTTAGGTTTTAAATGCTTTCTAGAGCAACCTATATGAACCCACAATAGACCACCAGAACAAGAAAATGTTTTATGGAAGTCATTTAAATGAATCTATATTCAACAAAGTGTTGAAGAACTTCACTAACCATTGAAGGTGTAAATTGAATCACTAAACTATTGATCCTTGTGGTTGTATAAAACTTTTAGGAGTATTGCACATAATAACAAGGGATAAAAATAAATAAATACGATAACTCCACGGTACAAACGACAATATTGTGAGAGTTTCCATTTGCTTTACAATAGAGGACAACATTCACTATGTTAACAACCTCTATAAAACTAAGCAATTCATGAAAAAAAGCTACACCCCCTTCACAAAACACAACAAACACACACCTACATTGCATAGGACCCCAATGACACCCATCTGTGACGCTGTCAGCCCACCGACATTGGGTATCTCCATATCTCTACACCGTTGCACAACCACCGCCACTAATAGCACCTATTTCACTTTCAGGTATCTCTGACCATTGTCTCAACTCTCTTTAACGCATCTCATATCTCTCTCTCTCTCTCTCTCTCTCTCTCTCTCTCTCGGCAGGCCATTCTAACCCCACTCAAAAGTTCCATACACACCAGTTGTTCGATAAATTGCCAAGATGATACCACCACCAATCGAGCCATCAACTGTCACCCACAGCCACCAACTGTCCCCATGACACAACCCACAAACACCATGTTTTCAATGAAATGTCACTACGAACAAAGTTTCTGATTTTTGGTACTCCAAATTAGTGGTTTATCTAAGTTTCTTCCCACTGCCACCATTTTTGTTCATGGGCAGATAAGTTTTTGTCCTTCCTCTCAAAATTGGTAGGGTTCTCAAGATTGTTAATTTTGAGTTTGTTAATTTCTTTGCTCCTCCCAGCCCCTTCAACCACCATCAATCATGAGTGTTGGTTTTGTGCATATGGCATAAAAAATGTCAAGGTGGTTGATTTTATATATATATATTTGGTAGAGTGTTGTGTGATGTGTTTGTTTAATGTGTTTGATTTTATTATTGTCTTGGCTAGCAAGTTCCTATATAGCAGTAGAATATGACCCAGAAGCGTTTCTGTGAGAAATTTTTAGTTTGCATCTTCATGGTGTGGTATGAAACTGCTTCTCTTTCTCCCTCTTCTCTTCTTTGGACAGTTTTTTTGTAATTCATTTCACTCTTCGATGTATATTTGTGTGTCTGCTCAATGTATTTGCGAATACTATGTACAATTGAGCTTTATATATTTTGTATCTCCGTGATTTTCCTTGGTGTGCGCATGTTTGTAATAATATGGGGTTTTGCTCATTAGATTTCAACAATTGATAAGACGATTGGTGCAGCTCTTGGAAAGGTATGATCTTTGATCCTTTATGTTATTTATCCTTATATGCAATAAGATGTTTGTTTTTTGTTTGAATTACTTTTAATAATCATAAATTTTTTCATATGCTTATGGATGCTATGGTTCCATTGGACCATGTTACTAGATGACAGGTATATAACTTCAATGTCATACAATTTTATCGTTCCAAGTAGAACTGAAGCACAACCAACTCAATAGTTCTTATATGATGTAGATGTTCAAAGCTGAAATAAAGTCCACTGGATGAGATTGTCTCGGATGATAATTATGGGGGGAGAGAGTTGATGACTTTGGGGGAGGGGAAGCTAGTTGTCAATATTGAAAAGGAGGTGAAATTGTTTTCTTTCATCCAAAAGTGCAAGTCAAACACCTTAGGATTCTTGGTTAAGACATCAAACAACAAGATCAACTCAAAACTCAGGATTTTGGAGGATTTGGTAATAAAGACCACCTATAAATATCTCTTAAAAAGCATCACAGGTGTTATGAATTTTGGTAACAAAGCAATGGTGGGAAGTTGCTGGAAGATATTAAAGAATCCCTTTCGGAGTATATCTCCTTCAATCACGCAAATGTTGCTGAAAATGGAGGATTTGGTGGGAAGATAGCCAATTTTTTGGGAGATTCTAGGGGGAGAGTTCCTGATGGAATTTTATCCCTTACGTTTCTCATTAATTAAATGATAGCATTTTGTTCTAAACACACCCTATTCTAACCCGGTTTTAAAGTTATATGTTTGGGTAATATGAAGATTTGATGCTCTTGGCCTTTACGAGAAACTAAAAGAGCTAGCAAAAGGAAGTGCAATTACAAAGGAAAACATAAGAGAGATCATTGAAGGTTTGAAACTGCCTCTAGAGGCGAAGACAAGTTTCTTATAAGTTGACACCACATATTTGTGTTGGGGTAGCAGTTGAACTACTAATAATGGATATATGGATGTCAATGTGATTAATGGGGCTAATGTCTAGGTCCAATTGAGGCAAAATTATGACAGAAGAGTTGGAATATCCGAGTTTTGTTTTAAATAAAAATCGGGGTTTTGATTCCTAAGTCCAATTGTAGGTATGTAAAATTGATGGAGAATTCATATTTTTTCTAATTAAAGTTTTTTGTGGGTTACATTTTTTGTGTTACACAGACACCAAAATGGAATTCATTTTAGCATAATGAGCAATGGAGTGTGAAGGTAAAATCATTAGTATAGATTTAAAATACTTTGTTTTGCATTGTTCATTTACTCAATGTGTTTTTTGAGAAAGCTTTCATGAAAGAAAATCAAAAGGTTCATGTATACTTGCAGTATTCTGACTATATGATCTTGAAATTTTTATTTTTTTTTAAAGAAATTTCTTTGTTTGTAGTCTATATGCTTCATTAATTTTGTATACCTTGCTTTGTGTGATTCGATAAAGAGAAGTTTTTGATTATACTTTGAGCGCTTAGGCAGCCACTATGACTACTATTGAACCCTTTGTTTATAGTCTCTTGCAGTATCTGACTGACTGTCACTTCGAAAATAGCTTATTTCTTCAACTTGAAAAGAAAAATAAAAGAATTTTTGATAATACAATTTGTTTAAAAAAAATCTAAAAAAACGAAGCAATGTGAATATTAATTTTGTTTTGTTTTATGTCAATGATGAGAAGAGGAAGGATGAGTGGTTGTGAATGTTATAGGTGGGAGGCGTATTTGCAGCTATTAGTTAAAGTTCTTGCGTTCTTGCATTTGTTTGTTGGGTTTTGGAGATTGCTATGGTCTTAAATAATGATTATTGAGAGAGTACAAAGTAGTTGGAGAGAGAGAGAGAGCGAAAGAGAGAGAGAGAGAGAGAGAGCAAGAGTACGCTCAAGATGAGGTGTGTGAGATCTGTCCCCATGTGTAGGGGAGTTTACAATTTATAGGTACGGAGCCCTAGCTGAGGCGGTAATGTGAAAGTCAAGTTACTAATTTATTGGAGAGGATAGCTACAGTTGGGGATGAGCACTATCTTAAAGTCATGACTATCCCGATAATTGTTGTCCCATGTTCGTTGACTCTCCATGGACTCTTGAGCTTGGAACTAAACTGAGACCACAAGCTAAGTCTAATCTACCTTTTGATGGTTTGTGCTTAACCTATAAACTAGGTCCAGAACTGATTTGGATCTGGTCTCGTCAGTATATATGGAATGTGTAAGCCATTGATAACTCATGTATTCAATGCATATCAAATATGAATTTTTAGGTGTTGAAAGGTTTCAACGTTAAGTAATATTGGCCCCAAGCATTAAATGCAACCAAACTATTAGAAGTTGCTACATGAACATGGTGTCAACCAGGGACGGAGCCATTAGTTGGCTAAGGTGGGCTGAAGCCCAGAGTAAAAAAATAAAATAAAATTATCACTTCCATACCAGCCCACTAAACAATTTTTTCATTAGCCCAATTTTCCAACTAACCCAACCCAGCCCAACCAAAAGCAACGGCTACCTGCAAATTCTCCCAAATCGATCTCTTCACTCTCTCAAACGGCAGATGGGTCTCTTCTCTCAGTCATTTCCCCCAAAATCATGTCGAATACATGCTGGCAGTATCTTCTCTCTCAGGCGGCCAGTCACTTACCCCAAAATCATACCAGTCTTTTCTCTCTCAAGTTGCCACTTCAACGCAAACACCCCCCATCCCTTTTCTGTGCAAACATCATCCTCTCTCTCTTTCTCCCGCACGCCCAGCCCCAACAGGTACAATTCATCACCTCCACCTTCTCTCCCCTCTTTGTTTAGTCTTGCTCTTCTTTTTCGTATGTCTGTCTCTCTGCCTGTATTTGTTTGGTTTTGCTCTTCGTTCAAATGCCCACAAGTTGTTCGATCAAATGGTAGGTTGAACCTGAACTTAGGTTATTAATTTAAGATGAACTTAGGTCATAAATCATTCGAATTTAGTATCAGAGACGATGCTAATTTGTAGGTCCTGATTGGAATGTAGTTCTTCCCAAGAAGAGAATTTGCAAGCTTTGAGCAGTTAAACTGAATCAATTTTCAATTCAGTGTAAAAAGAAGAATAGACCAACGTTTCTTGTCAATCAGATGTTACCGTGTTTTTCAATGATATAAAATTGACAGAGCAACAAAAATGTTTCATAAACATTCAAATTTGCAAGCTTTAACAATAGCCGCACAATAGTAAAGAATGA